ATTATAAAATAAGTATAGTACTATCTAGATTAAAAAAAAAAAAAAAAAAAACAGGAAGAAGAAAATTTGGTATTTTTTTTAAAAAAATCTGAATCTTCTTAAGAAATTTCAATATATACCGTAATTATGCAGCAAAATATAGGAACACGACAAGTGGACGCTCAAATAGAAAGATTGGCAAAAGAGGAAAGAAGAAAAAATAGAAGGCCGGGAAAGTGGCTTTTCCGCGATAACGAGATCGTCACGTCGAAAATCGTTACATTGCTTCTAGACTTCAGTTGAGCTTGCATGCATAGAAAATCTCCCCTCTACTCTCCCTCTTTCATTTTATAGTGCTTCTGGAAAATCTTGAATTTTCTCACTTCGTGGGCTACCAAAATTTCCATCTCTATATGTCACCCTTTGATGTCTTTTTTTGATCATGTTCGTTTTTATGTCACATAATAAAATCCAAAAGATTTTCTCGCTTTCCTATTCTATTATCTTCAATATGCACATTTATCTATCGATCTGAATATGTATTTTATTATAATGATAATTTATAACGTTTGATGAACATTAGAAATTAGATAGATGGTGATTATATTTAGATGCACACATACGTATCTGGTGTGCGCGCGTGCGCGTGCGCGTGTAATTACTAGTGCATGCTAGAGGAAAATGTTTGGAGTTTACGAAACTGTTTAAACTATAAAATAACCTGTTCAAATTTTGTATCCAAATACAAATTATCTTATGTAAAAGAGCTTATGTTTCCCGCACGAATATTTTGTTATTCCTCAGAGAAAATGTTTAGCGCGGAAATTCAAAGAAAAACGCATAACATGCAACCCTTTCATATACGTACGTGAATAATGTATCATGAATGTTTTTGTAATTCGTGAAATTTAAGCTAAATGCTGGAAAAAAGAATATGTACATAAAACATATTGTAACACGTTATTTACTTACTTTTTATTATATCTTTTGACTTTCTCAATGTATCTCCGTAAACATAATTTATCTCTTTATTAAACGAAGTGAAGCCATTTTAAGGAGAAAAAAAAATTTCCACCTTGTATTTATAGAGTTTATCAAATGTAAAAAGAAGTTCATGCGCATGCCACATTTGCTCTTAAAATTTAAAATACATTTTAAAAGATAATTAAGTCTCACATGTGGTATATACGTACATATCCACGTGCAACTCTGAAATCTTTATTGACATTGGTATAAAGTAATTTGCGTGGATCGTGCCCGTGGTGGTAAAATCGATGCAAGACTCTTGTAAATTGCTCGGAAGGTGTAATAATGTGCGTGCGAAGTATTGAGGTAACTCGAGATCTCAATTCTGAGTAATGCAGAAGTCGCTTGAACGAATGAAGAAAGAAAACAATGCGACGCTAATATCTCGCATTGGCAATGGCCAGACAAAAGTAAGACAAAGTTTACTTTCTCGTAAGATGGAATTTTTCTTAAATTACGCAAGGATAAATGAGTCGCAGCTGCTAAAATTTGACAGTACCTGGCTTACTTATTATTTTGTTTTTGTTTTTTATTTTATTTTTCAAACAGCTTTTAAATAGACTTTAAATTTTCTTTTATTCGTTTTTTTTTTTTTTTTTTTTTTTTACACGTCGAACAACAATTGAAACTATCGCAATGTTGACTTTTTTGCTTCACCTTCTACCGCATTAATATGAAATTTGAGTATTTTCATGTGTTTTTACTTCAACTTTTTAATATAGCAATATTTTGATAAAAAAAAATCTTTTTCGAATTATAGTTGAATTTTTAATTAAATCAATGCACGCCACTAATGATTCAATAGTGCTCTACTATAGTTATTCAAGTAATATTTAATAACAAAAATATAAACAAATTCCTATTGCGATTATAAAAATCTATTAATTTCTGCAATGTGATTTAAAATAATATCAAGTCGTTTATAATGTAATGTTAATGCTTAAGATTATTTAATAACTTCATTTCTCGTAAGGAATCATATTAACGCTAAATACGCTAATATATTCTAATTATAATTTGTAATAATAATAATACGAAGAGATAAGATGAGTATGCGAAGTTGATTTTTTAAGAAAAGAAAATTTATTCCAAGTATATCATCTGGTTGAAATCAATATTGTTAAAATTGACAATTTGGCAGCCGAAAATGTAAAGTGCTTTGTATACTCTTTGCATTTTAAATAAAAACTTCAAACGTGTTTTTCTTAAAACTTCTTTGCCTTCATTTTTATAACGTAACTTTCAAACGGAGCCTGAGATCGACTGAAAAAAGGTGATAATGTTTAAAGCATATGTCGTTATTTTGTTTGAAGGTTTAAAAAATTTGCCAAAGATCATAGTTTTTTTTTTTTTCGAAAAGTCCATAGGTTGCGAATTTTTAGAGCTACATCCATGCAATTTTATGTTTCTTAATATAAACTCAATGGTTTTCGTGGTAATTTTTTTTTTTTTTTTTTCATAATTGTTCATATTGATTAATTCTATAGTGATTCTACACTATACACGACTCCCTATATATGCATAAAGTAACACTTGATTTAATAAAATAGGAGTAATTTTAACGTAAAAAAAAAAAAAAAAAAAAAAAAAACATCTGAATCTATTTTAATAGGTGTAAAATGGATGATTTTAAAAATGAAAATACAATCAAGTAAAAAAAAAAAAAAAAGAAGAAATTATAAGTAGTAATGAAAGTGGATGAATCATTTGAAATACTCGCGGGGAATGTGAAATATATTAAATACTCGGGATCGTCTATTTAAGCCCTAAAATGATAATCGCGGTTTAACGCAAACGAATCTCCTCGTCGCAAGTAATTTTACAGTACACATTACAATAACAATAGGGCAAGTAAATATAGCGTTTAATGGATGATCGGTATTATCCGCAAGAACTCCATAATTCAGCATCATACATGCGAGCATAGCACTGGATTATACATTAAGTGGTAATCCAGTCGTATGCAGTAGGAGCTTCTGCATATAGGTAAAACGTATATATCACCGGTGTGCACGCATCTTCAAAGAGTCATCCGAGAGCTTCTATCCACAAATACGTGTATACATACGGGCGTGAGGGTATGCCTATATGTATGCACATGGGATGAGGGTGAATATCCCCTTAGGAGCTTCGCGTCCTCGCGTCCTGATCAAAGTTCGAGGACATCGGTACATGGGATATTCCCACACTCCTCTTGCGGCAGCCTCCTACCGGCCCGAACCACAAGATACAAAACCATTTCGTTTTCTTCTGGCTTTGTGCTTTATGGACTAGATCGGCCGTACGACGATTAACTCTTCCATCTCGAGATACTACGCGGATAATGCGAAATACGAGCTTTAGCCCCCGGCTCTCCGTACTGACGAAATCTCGGCGCTGAATTGATACAACTCGGCATCTGGTTGATAAAGTTCGGTTGGCAGGGCGATTCGTTATGCCGATGATCGCCACTACCGAGTCGGTTTTTACATATCAGTCATGACAGAATCAATTTTACCTTTTCTTTATTAATCGCTATTCGATTTACGCCAACTTTTTTTTTTTTTTTTCATAACCACGTCATTCGTATTTGATGAATAATCCTTATGTGAGCTGCATGCGAATATTATTCTAAGACTCTGTAAACAATAAGCTTATTTATTTGGTAAATAGGAAGAGAATATGAAATACAGTATACGAAATAAAATTGTAAGAATCATGGGCTTATTCATTTATCAGTTTAGGTCGATAAAAATGTAAGAGAGAGAGAGAGAGAGAGAGAGAGAGAGCGAGAGAGAGAGAGAGACAGAGAGAGAAAATATATGATAGGTTAAGAGATAGGAAGAAATAGAAATTATATTAATAAAAAGTACATGGCATATAAAAGAGAGAATTTTTCGGAGAAACTGGATAAAATACATACAAGGTTGAAAATACGATGCGAAAATATGAGAATGATAAAACGAGAATAAATAAATAGGATTTGACTGGTTAGAAAAATATAACATTCATATTAGAATTAGATTTAATAATATGAAATTTTATAGAAAGAGAAGTAAGCAAAATAGAAGAAATCAAAATGTTAAAACTGTTAAAAGTGCAATAAGGCTTAAAAAACAGAACAAGAGAATCAAATAAAATCTTTTGTTCAAGCACATATAAAGCGTAAAATAATAGTGGGCAAAGGGATAGAATAGAGAATGGAAAGGTGAGGAAGGAAAGGAAAAGAATGTTGTTTTTTTTTTTTTAAATTATAAAAAAAGGAATTACAAAAATATGTGAAAAATGATGAAATTAAAAAAGATAAAAGAAATGGAAAAATCGTAGGAACGACAGAGAGTAACGAATATAGTAAGAAGTGAAGGATGGAATTAAATAACGACAAAGGCAGAAGAGAAGAACAAAAATATAATGGACTATAGAAAATTTTATACGAAGAGGAAAAGTCAAAATATTGGAACAAAAAAAAATTTTATGACCGTTATAGATAGGAGTTTAATGTCGAAATAGCGATGTGAAAATGAAGCCAAAGCAAAAGTTTATTGAAATGATGTAGAAGAAGAAGAAGACGAAGAAGACGGTGTAAAATATGTAATAAAGAAAGATAAAACATAGATGTATATCGAGAGAATATTAAGAGCGAAAGATAAAATAAAATAGAAGATAGAGATGAAAAGACAGGATATAAAGATAATTTAAGAATATGAATGGAATAAGCATACAAGTAAATTAAATAATAGACGGAATGACAACAATCGAACGAAAAATAAACAAAGAAGAAGAAAAAAAGGAAAAATAAGAAAAATTAATAAACGCGAAATGAGCTGGAAAGACGATATAGCGATAAAAGTAATTGAGATAATCGGTAATTTAAGGGTAATTAAGGAAGCGACAAATAATTACATGCGGTTATGAACAAATGCATTGTAAACATGACGAATAGCCGGGAGCTTAATAATTATGCCGATCGTAGATATATTATACTTTCGTTAGAGCAGAGTTAGTGTTAAGCCATTTATTTATTAAAAACAATGTTCGCTTATAATTGGAAGATAATCTGACATTTTCAGAATCGCATGGGTACGTGCGGGGCGTCCGTGAAACATCATTTATCCCGGTTGACGGATCAATGCACGATAGCGAGGAGCGCATGAACGAGCAGAATGTCCACGTGAGATCGACGACGACGGCGACGACGACGACTACAAGGCAGCCAGTAAGGCAGCCGTCGACGTCCGGTGGTAGTTCAAAGAGCTCCTCGGGCACGAGGATGGCTTGCGAGAAGGCTTCCCGTCGTCTGAGAGCGACTCTCCTTAAGGCCTCGAGGCTCGGTGTCACGACTGCCGATCTGGCACGTCTCCCCGCGGCCAAGAGAATCGTCTCCCAGAGGGACCACGACTGGAAGCTGGCGGTCCTGCTCCTACTAATGTTCGGCGGGGGTGTGATCGTCGCCCTTGTCTGTACAACGAGTCGGGGCTGCTCGAAAATCGAGGATATTGTGAGTTGATCACCTACCTCTTAATTCTATACGTTTATAAGCATTTCACGTCACATCGACAACATTTTCATCTCTCTCTCTCTCTCTCTCTCTCTCTCTCTCTCTCTCTCTCTCAAGTGTTGAGTCGAGAAATCTTAAAGACTGATTATCAAGTTAGTGGAATATTCGACTATTGAACAGTTTGTTGGTGAAATTTTATATTGAAAACATCAACTTCTTAAAGCTCGATTGGATTTGAATATTCGTCTTTAATGATATAATTAATAATATTTCAAGTTAATGTCGAGAGTACTTGAGAATTATAATTTAAGCATCGTCGAAGCATTTCCCTATCGAAACACAAGCATTTTACGATACAAATATGTGAAGCGTTAAGGTGTAAATTAAAAAATTTTGCATAAAAATTGTGAGCCACCGCAATGAAATTACCGACGCTATATTTGTTCGTTAAAATTCTTTATTCGGTTATTTTGCCATATTCATCGCTGAATTATAATGAAATTTTAATACGAAGATTTGCCTCAAATAACAAAAAGCCGTGAATTTTTGCAATAAATCATTTTTACGTTACGAAAATTCATACGACAGATGGATAAGGTAATCGAACGTGACGACTAATTACTCAATTTATCGTTAATCCGGCGATGCATGCAAATATTTCCCAATCGATTTCGCGACATTTTCGACTCTTCGTAAAATCTAATCTTTCATGAGAAAATTGAAGACCCCTGTGCTCGGCTTAAGATACACAATTTTTATTTAGATAATTAAGTCTCACAAAGTGGATTAAATTCCCATCGCATTACAAGCCTATCCACATTTTGAATGTATTAGAAGATTGTAAGTGTAATGGTGTATTGAAAGTAGACTATAAATTACATTGTAGCAGCGAAATGAAAAAGCTCATAGTTATTGTAGCAGAGCGGGGACGGGTTGTGACGCAATAGTTTTATCGCGATGCGCATGTGTTTCGAATAAGAAACATATGCCGTTACTATTAGCCGTCGCCTATTGGCCACGGTTATCAATGTGTGAGTGTCGAGAGTAAAGTTTCGCGCTCGAATTGCAATTGGTAGGAGGTAAGTTTGAAAAGACGTTTGGAAGTTGAAGGAGCCGCCGAATCGCAAGGAGCCGCCTTTGCAATAACCAGTTGGCTCGCTCTAGCAAACTCGATTAGGCGTCAGTTAGCAAAAAATCAAGGCCCCTCGAGAAGATAGCGTCCCGCATGCGAAATCGCATTGCCGCCGCGGACAATTAGTCCCGTGGCAGGATGCGATCCCTTGATTATGGAGCACGGCAGGGGAGATGGTAGGACCACCGAAACTAAGCGGAAACTAAGCGGAAGTAGGCTCGGCCTCGGCTCGCGGCTGATGGGATCGTTAAATACATCCTCGAGACACATTGAAATTCAAATTTCGGGCCGCCCGGCGGCACGGCTATCCACCCTCGCTCCTCCGTTCTTTTACGGGAAAACTGAGCAAGAGAGAGGAGAGGGTGACTGCTATAGATAGCGGCAATTTTCGAGCGGTTGTGTATTATGGAAAGTAATTTTCAGATCCATTCACATTTGGCTACTGCTTTTTTATCCTCGAAAGTGCGATCGTTGTACTGTTTTATGGAGTATTAACGGGTGGATGCTCGGAATCCTTGTTACTAATTATCGCTGCATTATACGAGCGCGCATCTCTCAAACATCGAATAATCATTAGTTAACTCGTGAAATAAACTCGCGCAGTAGCGTTTCAAAGTGCTCGTCTTTATTTCATGTCTAGCAATATCGATTATCAATGGCCCCCTATCGTATAATGAAGAATAAATTGATATTTGCGGAGAGTCATTTAATGATAAGCGTTAGACGTTTTATTAGTACAAATTCTAATACCCTTAATAAAAACACATTTATAAATGAAGTTTCAATAAAATATTTTACCGCTTGTGCATACGCAGAACGATTGTTTATTTAATGAAAGAGAGTCACGAATAAGGACATATCGTTTTAGCAATGATATATTATAAATAATATTAAGCTTGAATGATTTTTACATCGTGTGCTTTCCAATTATACCGTAGATTAAAAGAAATATTTGAAAAGTACATGTTTACTCAATTTTTATTTAATCTTTAAATATCCTTGGACGTATAATATCAATTTAACATACAAGTGTCTTCTTATTGTTTATAAAAAAATATAAAGTAACTTTCAGTAAGCTCATCGACACACGCCTTTCTTCCACATTAATACCCGTCTAACTATCTGTTTGTTTGTTTTTTTTTTTTGTTTTTTTTTTGTTTTTTTTTTTTTTTGTTTATATATTATTTATACGGATAATGTAAATTGAAGTCTATTTATGTAAAGAAGTAACATCACCAGGAATGATGAAATATAAAAATTTAAACTTTATATGGTTAATAATCATCGTTGCTTTGTATTATTATTGTAATCTAAAGTTCCAATCGCTTAATTAGTTAATAAACATTTTAATAAAATAGAATTTATAATGTTTATAATGATAATTGTTTCATAATTAAAGTAAATAATATGAAGTATTTATATCACAACTATTATTATTATTATTGTTTTGTTTATGTTTTTGTTGTTTTTGTTGTTGTTGTTGTTGTTGTTGTTGCCTGGTATTAGGGATATTATAATTGTCTGGACGTAAAGGTTTGGTAATAATTTATGAGTATATTACGTTTAAGTATGAAGCAGCCAGTGATAGATGAATTTCTAATATAAATTTCGTCTAAATAATTGTATCACTGTCTCACTTTACCCATTTGATCCACTATTAACAATTGTAAATTGTCAACAATAACTACTCGTATTTAGTAGTTTCTATACTCCATTTCTCCAATGTATTTCTCCATTACGCTTTAATAATCTGTTTGCATAAACCTTAGCAACTTGGCGATGATAATTAAATGCCGCAATGGTATGCGGGTCGCCGTCTTCCACACTCGAGCACATTCGTCGCTTTTAACGTCTGGTGATAAATTCAAGCAAGTGCGAGGAAGAGGCGAACCCGAAATAAATAAAAGGCATTATTGCAGCTGGCAAAACTCTTAAGTGAGTTGCTCTAATCGCCCGGGATGGATGGCGTGGGTGGGTGCTGTTGTTTGTTTGTTTGTGCGTGTGTGTGCGTGCGTGTGTGTGTGTGTGGGGGGGGGGATGTGAGGCATGAAAGAGGTTATACTTTGCCGAAATGAGCATCGTGGGCTCGTTAGCGCCTTTATTCTTCATAGTCCAATAATTGCTCATTGCAAAATACCCAACCATTTCTTATCTACCTATTTATCTGCTCGTCCATCATCCCCATCTCCATCTTTCTCTCTATTTATCCGTCTATCTATCTATCTCTCAATCTTTTTACGTGTCTTTTCTTTTCCTTTGGTTGTTGTTTGTTTGGGTATTTGTGTGTGCGTTTGTGTGCGCGCGCGCGTATACAAGTGTGACGAATACTTTGGTCATTACGCAAATGGAAGTGGCTGCTGGTGCTGGCAAGGTAAAAAGTGGCAGTGCATCAGCGCCAGCATAAATATACTGTCAAGACTTACGATGGGCCAATTTTTAAATACATCTCACCTCGAATATCTTTATACTTGCTCAGTCCCGTCAGTTGCGCCTCGATAGAAAATATTTTCATCGTCAAAAAATATCCGGACATCTTTGCATTAATTTTTCTAATACCATCCGTTAATTACAATGGATGCAATGACTATGAGGTATATTGTATAGTGGCTGGACACGAGACCATCGTGTCATTCTTTCAACTGAAAGCTTCTTTCATATTTATCGAGCTAACGTCTTATTAAGATTGTGCCATTGAATATCCTTCGTAGAATCTGCTGATTTAAGAATAAAAAATATAATGCCTAATGTAGAATGGAGGAAATGTCTGTTATTGTCTGTTCCAAGCACCGTGTAAATATCGAAAGAATTTCTGTAGTCTCGTTTATTTAAACAAATGAGAATCGTCATCGGCCGATTCGTGCCGGCTTTTCGTTAAACAAGCGGTTGGGAAAGAGGGCCGAGGAATGAATGGGGCGACATCATATCCGGTCGCGCTCCCCGATGAATGACGGGGAAGGAAGTGGAGGGTCGAGCTGGAAACGGGGTGTTCGCCGACAGCTTACCGAGGGTTGCTGCTGGTTACTGCCTCTGGTAGCAGGGATGCGATCCCTGATAGTTCAAATGTTGCATCCACCTCCCACGCGGTTCGTTACAATTAATTAATGCATCAATTTACTCGGGTTTGTATCGCTGCTGCTGCTGCTGTTGCTGCTGCTGCTGCTGCTGCGCCGCGAGTTTGTCATTCGGTCTACGCGAGCCTTCAACTCCAGGGTTCCGGATTTTGGATTTCGGGGGCTTTGATAACGACAGAGGCAGAGCAATTGGCGCCTGCTTTAAAATCCGGATGCACGGCAATAATTTCAATGCGAAACAATTCGACGCCCGATGTGATTCTCGGCGGATCGAACATTCGCTGGTCCATTATCGTATATACGAATAATAATAATAATAATAATAATAATAATAAAATATTGACGTCTGTCTGTGTCGTCTGTACTCTTTCATTATTTAATTTAATTGATTCGTTCGTTAAGATTAATTTAATAATTTTGCAATATGGACGAAGTCACCTTGCGAGCATCCATAATCTTTTAAGGATTTAGAAAATATTAACAAATTACTTTAGCATTTTGCAGGCCTCCCTCGTGATACCCAAAATTATTGTAATATTAATTTTTCGCTTAAGGTAAACGAATTTTTATTAAAATATCATTCTATGTAAATTTAGATTACATCTAGTGTGTTTTTCATTTAAGTTCCTCGCATATAGATGTGAAGATTCTTCGAGTAGTTCGTTTACTTTGTAATCCGAGCCAGATGCAGAAGGAATCGATTTTGAAAATTTGCATGTGCAATCAATTACCTGTAATTAGACTAAAATTGTTGATAAAAGGAAAAAAAAAAAAAAATAAACTGAACATTATTCGTC